GCTATTCTATTTCTTCTTCCTTAACATCTTTCTTTTTAACTGGTGGGGGAAAGGTGTAGAGGAAGTCATTGGAAAACATGGAATCATGTTGCTAGAAGAGAGCACAAGAGATGTCCAGTCCAACCCCCTGCCATGTAGGACTGCATAACCATACAGTTTCCGTTCAAAAACCTCCAAAAAAAGGACTTTATCAGATTTTAAGACAGTGCATTCCGCTACTGAACTGGTTTTACTGCCAAAACGTTCTTCTTAATAATTATGTGGAATTTCTTTTCTTGTAATTAGAATCCATTGTACTGCATCCTAGTATCTGGAGCAGCAGAAAACAAGTTCTCCCATATAACATCCTTTCAAATATTTAAACATGGCTATCATGTCCCATCTCAACTTTCTCTTCTCCATGCTAAACATACCCAACTCCCTCAGCTGTTCCTCATATGGCTTGGTTTCCAGACCTTTGATCATTTGGGTCACCCATCTCTGGACACATTCCAAGTTCTTAATATCCTGGTCCTAACTGGACACAGTATTCCAGGTGAAGTCCAACCAAAGCAGAATTACTTCCCTTGATTCAGATACTAGGTTCATATTGAAGCAGCCTAGAATCACATTGGCCTTTTAGCTGCCATATAACATTGTTGACTCATGTCTAGCTTGTAATCTACTAAGACTCCTAGGTCCTTTTTTATATACACTGCTGTTAAGTTAGATATCACCCATTCTATATCCGTGCACATTATTTTTGTGTGCACAAGTGTATTACCTTACATTTCTCCCTGTTGAAATTCATGTTGTTAATTTTAGCTCAATTCTCCTATCATTATGGTCATTTTGAATTCTGATCCTGTCGTCTGGGGTATTAGCTGCCCCTCCCGATCTGATGTCATTTACAAATTTGACAAGCACGTCCTCTATTCCATATCCAAGTCATTTATAAAGATATATCTAATATCACTGGGCCCAGGTCAGAACTTTGTGGTACATACAATTATGGCTTCAAACCTCTACATTATTTCAGACCAGTGGAGGTCAGTTGATATCAGCAATGGGGTCTTATCAGCTTCCACACCTGAATCTAATAAAATCAGTAGATTATTGGTATAGTTTATATGTAGGGTTGCCTAGTGAAGGTTCTCAACCTGTGGGTCCCCAGGTGTTTTGGCCTACAACTCCCAAAATCCCAGCCAGTTTTACCAGCTGTTAAGATTTCTGGGAGTTGAAGGCCAAAACATCTGGGGATCCACAGGTTGAGAACCACTGGCTAGTGAGTATACCTACTGGCCATCTAATGCAATTTTAATCTTGTGAAGACTGGCATGGGAGCCACATGGAAGTGCCCAGCTGTGTTCTGTGACTGGTGCCTTTACACCCATTCTGTTTCCCAGTCAGGAGCCAATAGCTATTGTGGAGTGGGGAGCTGCATCTGAAGTTGGGGTTTGGAGGGTGAGGGAGGACACATATTTTTGTCCCACTTGACAGTGAATTATAGAATCTTGTCCAATCTGCTCAGAAGTTATAGGAGCCCTAGAAGCCTTGTCTACATGAGAACTAGGCCTCAGGCTGCACACTTTTTCTGTTTGATACCAATGGCCCAGGCACTCCTGCTATATAAAGCACAAGAAGAAGCCACACTGCTTCCATTATTATTGTTATCTTGATTATCCCTTCCCCATACATCTCTTTCAACTCTCGTCCTGCACAGCAGCCCATCATTCAGCCTTAGTGTAAACCAGTGTCAGCTGCAAAAATTGCCAGTACATGGAAAATGTGGAGACAAGTGAGCACTGCAACCATTGCAAGGGGACTGAGGTAAAAGCAGGACATCAGGAGTAGGAATGGTGGGACTTGCCCTTCTTGGCACCCTGTTGTCTAAGGTGGGTGGCTGTTGATCTGCAGTGGCCCTACTTTATATCAGTTTAGTGTTGTCTGGGGAGTACAATAGTGTGCAGAAATGTGGCACCGCCACTATAATTTCCTCCCGGTCCAACAAGATGTATGGATAAAAGATTTGTGCTCCAGAGTCAGTATAGCAATGCCAAAGTGCTTGAGATCTGTGCTAGATACGTGCATGGAACCATTTCCATTCGTTTCATCCATTCTTTTGTTTCTTCCACTACCTTCAGAAGCACAGAATGGGAAGCCCCCTCCTGGTACGAAAATCAGCTCAACATGAAAACAAGTAGAAGTTTCCCTTCTGCTTTTGTGACCATATGGCACTCCTAGCTCGAATGAGGTCCAGGTCATCAGCTCATCCTTCCCTGGGTCTCCTTGAAATGAGCAGCCAAGGAGCTCTCCCCCTACCTCCCTCAGCCTCCCTCTCAGAGAGACCGACCCAGTGCCATAGGAGCCTGGATAAGGACAAACAAACAATCCCCCAAAGAGGGGTATCTTTAACCCTTCTAGGTCTGGACTCCTCCTCCTCCTTCACCACCAACATGGAAAACTTTAACAACCACAACAGCCAGGTTTCCAGCTTGCATCGGTGGAAGAGGAGGGGACCAAGGCTAAGTGCATGCATGCAGTCAAGGGCTAAAGAGCTCCCCCCCCCCTCCTTCAGCCTCTCTCTCAGGAAGACAGACCCAGCTCTGAAGGAGCCTCAAAACCAAGCCGCGTCTGTCTCTCCTCTAGAGTAGAACAGCTTTAAGAAGCATTAAACTCAGTTTCCTCTTCTTCAAAGGGAAAAGAATAATAAAGAGTGGTAACTGATGCTTTTTAAAATCTAGGTTTTTGTGACGGCGCGAGTGTAAGATTTAAACTGTTGTATCATGCTTAATCCTGTCCCTTTTTACCCTGCTTATGTATAGTTGTATGGATTGGTTGCTTGTAGCTGTTAATCAGTACTGTTTGGCTCCACCTCTTCCTACAAGAGGGGAGAACTTCCTTTTTCTGTGGGAACTCCCCCCCCCCCACCCAATGGGTGCTTTCTTTACCCCATTGTTGCCAATGGGCCAAAAAGTTTTGGTTTTTTCGTACACAAAACGAAAAGGTCCATTTGAAAATCCACCCGCTTTTGAGAGGTGAGCAAAAACTTGGTTCAAACAAGCAGAAATGAATAGCAATTCTACATGAATGCACAGCCCTAATCTGTGCAGGAATGCCACTCAGCAATAATGCTCAGGGGACAGGACGGCCTCACCCCACAAACCTCACTGTGTTGCTTGTCCATCGTTCTGGTGCCTCTTTTCATTTCTTAATGTTAATCAGCCTTCCCACTGAGGTGTGCTTTAGATGTGCCAGACAGACACTCCCATCATTCCCTGCCAGCATCGCATTGGCTGACTGGGAATTATGCAAGTTGCAATGCAAGAGATATGGAGACAGGGGAATTTCATTGGGACAGAAACAAAAACTATTAGGTTTAGTTGTAAACCTGATGCCATAAAAGTAGAAATTAAGATAACATATAAATTAACAAGTGATTTACAAATCCCAATGCATAAAGTTGTAATTGTAACCCGGTATTTTGACCAAGTTTATAATCCTAGTTTCTGCTAGAATTTCTTCATGGGTCAGAATATAAAAATATTTAGAAACAGTCAAATGTTGTGGGAACAAATATAGGATGTGACATTTGGAACGCGATTTGAACTCCAGAGGGAGCTAGACATCAACACACAGAGGCTTCTGCTTGAATAGATTTTCTCTCTCACTTAAAGTGATATACGTAATGTATGCTTCTATTTTAAGAAGGCAGGAAGCATTGCAAATACACATTCTGAAAGAAGAATAGCTTCCCATTATGTAGGAGACAATTTAAAACCAAAAGCCAAAATAGTCAAACCACAGGAAATCTGCAACTGAATCTTTCGGTCTCAATTTATTTTTTTCAAAGCATCTGTGAGACCTTCCAACTTGGACCAAAGTCGTGGCACTAGGGACCTCATCACACTATAGCATGGATCATTTTGTTTAAATCTGATCTGAAAGACATCTGATGCCTCAATACTCCAGTCCTGATCCCATTTACTTAACTGTAAAGACAACCCCCTTCTGAATAAACCTTGCCATGAAAAAACCTGTGATAGATCCACCTTAGGGTAGGTACCATAAGTTGGAAATGACTTGAAGGCACACAACAACTAAAGTTTATTTTACTACTCCATCACACTAGAGAATGAATCCACTTTAAATCTGGTTTCTGCCTCCTGCAGAATTCTGAGGTTTGTAGTTTAGTGAGGCTGTTAAGGTCTCCTCCCTAAAATACAAACCCTAGCTTTCTGCAGGAGGCAGCAACCGGATTTAAAGTGGATTCATTAAATCAACTGGACTTATGGCAAAGTGAGAGCCAAATCAATGTAGTAGTTTGAGCATTGGACTCTGTAGTTCAGGGTTGGAATTCCTGCTCAGCCATGGAAACCCATTGAGTGACCTTGGATAAGTCACATTCTCTCAACCTCAGAGGAAGGCAATGACAACCCCCTCCTCAATAGATCTTGCCAAGAAAACTGTGTGATTGTTTCACTGTAGGATCATCATAGGTCGGAAACGACTTGAAGGCAGATGGTGATGACAACAACCATAACAACAACATGTCAAAAATAAAAATATTTCAGATTGGGGGAACATAATGAGAAGTTAAAGTACAAGGACAAGTTACTAACTGTGTTTAATATCTAATTTTGATCTTCATTCTTTACTCATCAATTTGCATTTAAAATTTCATTCCTACTTACATTAAGTTTCCTGTCAGAAATAAATCAACTGGATGAACAAAGTTGACATACACACACACACACGACTGCACTTGCACATATGACTATAAGATATATAGCCTGTCTAACAGTACTGTAATTCTTGCTAAAATCATCTCCTTTTCCCCTTTCCTCTCCAAGTATAATTGCTATGCTAATTTTCCATAGCTTTCAAGGGGAACTCAAGCTCATTCTACTCGAGCTATTTATAACAACAACAACAAAGCACGAGATGCTGGCAACAGTATGAACTTCACCATGTGAATCTATGCATCTTTGGCAAATAATAATAATAATAATAATTCTTACAGTGTCTTTGGAGGTTCCTAGTTTTTTCAGCCCATCTAACGGCAGGAGGTCAGCCGAGTCCTTGTGGTTAAACTGGACAGCCTGCTTCATCCTCCTTTGCTGTCGAAGGGATGCAGCTTCCCTCATGTCCACCTCCTTCCTTGATGACTCTGTGAGGAGACCCGAGTAAAACATCTTTGCCTCTTTGAGGGATCAGTGCCTTGCTTCACCTCCTCTCTCCTTCTCTCTCAGGCTGCTACTGCTCTTCTTCTGGATAGGAATGAATGCCTCTGAGCTCTATTGGGAGCACTTTATACACAGACTCTGTGTGACGTTTGTGCAAGCAGCATGTTCCCCTGTCAGTGTGGCGTAGTAAAGGAAGGGTTATGCACACTGCAATGTGTTACACACCCCGAGGGGCTGCGTGGGTTTAGCTTTATAAAAGGGGAGGAAAAAAATGAGTCTAAGAAGAGGAATTAAGCTACTCACTGGCTTCCTTTTGAGGGGGTGGAAGAGAGAGAGAGAGAAATACAACACACTGGCTATGGGCAGTCTGCCTCGGCTGCTTCCTTTCCAGTCAGGTGCTTTTCGGTGAAAGCGACGCTTCACAAAATGAGCTAGCATCTCCTTTCAAAACAAACAGATGTGACCTTTTCTCGCCATATGTCTCTCCTGTTTAAAGACAGTGTGCTGTGATTATCCTATGCATATGTACATTTTAAAAACCGTCTGTGGTAGATGTAGACAAAACGGTGATTTCAGTACCAAAGGCAGACAAAAGCTATTGATGACTCAGGAAGTGCCGTCCCAAAATGCTGGTGTGCATCCTCCCCAGATCATGAGCTGTTTGTGCAGAAGATGTGCACGAAAGGCCTTCCCCATGAAGACCTGCACCCATTCCTGTTAATCTTGTATAGCTTACACAGCACATATACAGGTTTGCATACCACCAAAGTAAGCTTCAGGTGCTTCCTTACTATGCCAACTCAAGGGCTTTAAAGGTGGACGCTGTACAGCAGGCATGGGCAAACCATACCAACACCAAAATAATTCCTTTGTCTCTCTAATGGTATCTCATTTATTAGTGACTACTGTATATAGCAGGCATGGTGCTCCATGTGTTTTGGACTTCAATTCCCACCATTCCTAACAGGCCCCTTTCTTTTCCCCCTCAGCCACTTAAGCCAAAGTTTGCCCACGCCTGCTGTACAAAACACCACTACTAATAATAATAATTGTAAGGGAGCCCCGGTGGGGCAGTGCATTAAACCCTTGTGCTGGCAGGACTGCTGACCGACAGGTCAGAGGTTCAAAACCAGGAAGAGTGGGTTGAGCTCCCTCTGTCAGCTCCAGCTCCCCATGTGGGGACATGAGAGAAGCCTCCCACAAGGATGGTAAAACATCAAACATCCGGATGTCCGTTGGGCAACATCCTTGCAGACAGCCAGTTCTCTCACACCAGAAGCGACTTGCAGTTTCTCAAGTCGCTCCAGACACACACAAAAACATACACCTCTTTCAAAATGCTGGTAGGCCATAATAATTGTATTACCCACCTCTCCCCGTGGCTCTAAGCTAGTGAAGCCTCTGGTAAATAAGTTTCCACATAATTTTTTAATGTCCATCCAGTATCTCATTGTCAGGTTTTTTTAACAGCATTAGCACTGAGGTATAGGTGAAGGAGGGTTAGAGAAACACAAAACTCCAGAAGTGGAACAGGTAAAACATCAAAAAGTAAGAGGGAGCAAAGGGAATAATGCCCTTCTCTGAAATCAGACTCTGTGAACCTTCAGTTCTTCCAACACTGCATTTAACATCAAAAACAAAAAAAAACCCCTAGTGATTACCCAGCCTAATTATAAAAGGCTTTGGCTTTGAAACCACGTGTTACTTCTTAATTTTTTTCCAGCTTTTGTCTTTGTGTGCCTTCAAGTTTTGTCTGATGTCTGCCAAACCCAAAGTAGCCCTATCACAAGCAAGATTTGTTCAGATAGAGGTTTGCCTTTGCCTCCCTCTGAGCCTAAGAGCATGTGGCTTGCCCAGTGGTTGGCTATGGTTGAAATGGGGTTCAAGTCCTGATCTTAAAAGTCATAGTCAATTATTCAAACACTAGACTACGTTGGCTCTCCTTTCCAAACATTTCATACATTGTGGAAGTGCTGTATATACAGTATATCAGTCTCTGGAAGAATAGTAGAGAAAATAGTCCTAATCCAAGTAGTGAGCTGAGTTTCAATCTTTTGGGTACCTTGTAAGATTATACAGAAGTTGCATTCACTGAAAGCAAAACAGAACTAAAGCTCAATACAAAATTATATTTTAAAACTTACTTACTTAGGCGATCCCTTGTAGCCCAAGGATGATGGTCCTCCAAGTCCAGTGGGTCCCTAGGTAGCTGTGGAGTCCTATTCTTGATCCGCATGTTCTCCCGCAGCGAGGACATCAGTTTCCAGGTGGAAGGTGGTGCCTGTCAGGATTGGCTTGACATGCTTTCCTCTTGGCACCTTTCTCCCTTTTGCCCTCCATTCATGCCTCTTCATTGTAATGAGTGTGTTATTGTTTTTACTGCTGGTTTTACTGGTATTGAATTGTACCGGAGTTGTTAGCCACCTTGAGTCCCCTGAGGAGGAGAAAGGCAGGGTATAAATTAAATAATTAAATAAACCCGCTACTTAGGGCAGGGCTATGAATCATAGAGTTCTCCAACTATTTTTCAACTACAACCTCCAGCCTTCCTCTTCATTGGCTATGCTGTCTAGGGCTGCTAGGTCTTGCAGGTCAACCACATCTGAGAACCATATGAAACCCAAACAAATCTAATCCATTCAAGCATTCCTTAAATCTGTGTGACCTAGGAAACAACACCCAAATAGTGGCTGGTTCCTAGGTCAAGTAATAGATACTCTTGTCCCATCCTGGCTTTTTAATTGCTATGAACAGGAAGGATTACTTTTAATATACATGTGTTATTGTGATAATTTTATGCTTATGTTGTTTTGTTAATTTTATGTTACGCTGTTTACTTGGAATGCTTCAGTGATGTTACTTGGAAACCGCCCTGAATCCCCCTCGGGGAGATAGAGCGGCATATAAATAAAGTTTTATTTTATTATTTATATTATTCCACATCTCCAAATATATGCCAGCACTGTAGGATGTTGTTGTTTATTCGTTCAGTCACTTCCGACTCCGTGATCTCATGGACCAGCCCACACCAGAGCTCCTTGTCAGCGTCACCACCCCCAGCTCCTTCACGGTCAAGCCAGTCACTTCAAGGATACCATCCATCCATCTTGCCCTTGGTTGGCTCCTCTTCCTTTTTCCTTCCATTTTCCCCAGCATCATTGTCTTTCCTATGCTTTCCTGTTTTCTCATGATGTGGCCAAAGTACTTCATCTTTGCCTCTAATATCCTTCCATCCAATGAACAGTCAGGTTTTATTTCCTGAAGTATGGACTGGTTGGATCTTCTTGCAGTCCAAGGCACTCTCAGAACTTTCCTCCAACACCACAGCTCAAAAGCATCGATCTTCCCTCGCTCAGCCTTCCCTAAGGTCCAGCTCTCACATCCGTAAGTTACTACAGGGAATACCATGGCTTTGACTAGGCGGATCTTTGTTGCCAGTCTGATGTCTCTACTCTTTACGATTTTATCGAGACTGGACATTGCTCTCCTCCCAAGAAGTAAGCGTCTTCTGATTTCCTGGCTGCAGTCTTCATCTGCAGTAATCTTTGCACCTAGAAATACAAAGTCTGTCACTGCTTCCATGTTTTTTCCCTCTATTTGCCAGTTGTCAATCAGTCTTGTTGCCATAATCTTGGGGTTTTTTAATGTTTAACTGCAACCCAGCTTTTACACTTTCTTCTTTCACTTTGATTAGAAGGCTCCTCAGTTCTTTCTTGCTTTTAGTCATCAAAGTGGTATCATCCGCATATCTAAGGTTGTTAATGTTTCTTCCTGCAATTTTAACCCGAACCTTGCATTCATCAAGTCCACACATCCCATGATGTGTTCTGCATACAAGTTGAATAGGTTGGATGAGAGTATACAACACTGCTATATGCGTTTCCCGATCTTGAACCAGGCTGTTGTTCCATGGTCAGTTCTTACTGTTGCTACTTGGTCATTTTACAGATTCCAAAGGATCGCTGCCTTGTCACGGCGCTGGAGCTTGAGCACCTCAACGATGCCACGAGTGAAACTGTGAAGGGACACCCAAGATGGGACAGTCATGGCAGAGAGGTCAGACCAAGCGTGATCCCTGGGGAAGGTAATGGCAAACCACCCCAGTATTCTTGCCAAGAAAACTAAATGGGCCAGCACTGAAGGATAGTAAGTGTTGATTCATTACTTGTTTGACTTTCTTCTTCCTCAAGCATACTATTGCCACAGACTCCCACAGTAACTTCAAATAGCATATTAACTATACCTTCAGTCCAGTGGAAAAGTGTAATTGGGCAATTCCACACTAATGAATGAAAGAGTAAACTTTCAATGGGGAATGAATAGCATACTGTACAATGTTACTTCCCAGGATTTTGAGTCTTAAGCTTTCTAAATACAAACTGCAGCCATGCTTTTTGATTCCCAGGTAGAAAGGGGTTTAAAAGCTTAGCTTTTCCCCTTTATTTATTACCCCTTGTCAGAGCTGAGAAACAAAATGGCCAAAAATGCTACTGCCACCCAGCAGGTCGAACATGGGAGCGATTTGCCCGGTCCTTTCTCATCTTAGAGCAGGCAGCTATTATGTAATGAATCATTGACAAGCAAACAGGACTCCGAGGGGTAAAAACAACTTGTTTTTCGCCTTGGGAGCTGTTTGGCGAGGTGCCAGTTGATTAAATAAAGATGCTTCAGTCTGCCGCTTTCATCTGTAGGCAGAGACACAACACAACGGAGGAAAAAACAAAGCTCCCCGCACCTCCCCCAGCTAAATGTTGATATACAGTATTACACTTTTATGTAATAGGAAGAATCAGGCACCTGGTAGAGAGAGCTGGGTGCCTTTCCCTGGCAAAGAGGCAATAAGCTCCAATTCATACAGCGGGGGGGGGGGGGGGGGGGGGGGGGGGGGGGGCTACATCAAAGCTGGAAAGAGGAGCGGAGCTAAAGTGCCTGCTCAAGGCTGAATTTTTATTCTCTGTTTCAGCAAGCAAAAGAAAAAGCATTGGCAAGCCCCCCTTTCCTGAGGGTTTCCATCTGCTGGAGACAAGCTTTCTTAATTACATTGCAGGCTAAGAGAGAACCACAAAAAGGAACCCAATACAGTGTTGAAGCTACAAGGCCATTCAATGCTAATCAAGGTAGCCAATTGCAACATTCACACTTGCCTCAAACAGACAAGAGTCCTTTCTCCCACCCTGGACATTCCATAGATATATAAAACCCACTTGCCTAGTTTCCAACAAATTTCAAAACCTCTGCCATAGATGTGGGCAAAACATCAAGAAAGAATGCTTCTGAAACATGGCCATACAGCCCGGAAAACTCAAAGCAACCCAGTGATTCCGGCCATGAAAGCCTTCAACAACACATTTAACCCAATACACTTTCTCTTATGGATTAGAACAAATGT